ACTTGAAAGAAATAAAGATTTGACATTTATCATGATAATTATCGATATCGACTGATATTAAAAAAATTATCGTGATAATTTTTTTGGCCATATCGCCCAGCCCTACCTACAGAGAACATTTCATGCATCATTAAACGAAAAATACGTCAAAGTTGACCACGAACTCTTCAGCAGCTAGAAACCTATATCAGGCAAGAATGGGACCAAATTCCAACACCAAAACTCCAGAAACTCATAACCTCGATGCCCAGACGTCTTCAAACTGTTTTGAAAAGAAGAGGAGATGCTACACCATGGTAAACATGCCCCCGTCCCAACTAATTTGAGACCTGTAGCAGGCATCAAATTTGAAATTAGCTCATTTTGTGCATAAAATTGTCAAATTTCTCAGTTTAAACATTTATTATGTTCTATTATGAATAAAACATTGGCTCATGTGATTTGAAATTCTTTTAGTTTTCATTTTATTCAAATTTTAAAAACGTCCCAACATTTCCGGAATTCGGGTTGTACAATCGCATTTTCATTTTTAAGGGGGAGATCCCAAGTGTTCATTTAAAAGGAATAAATGAGACGAGCAAATAAGTGATCATTTTATTTTTTATCACACCTGCAAGGGCAACTTACTTCCCACATTTAAAAACAAATAGCATATTAGGAGCATACTTTATTACATTAATTATGATTGAGATAAATTCACAAATGCCCTACATAGCCTTAATGTGGTTGGTAAAAAGAAAGCAGTGGTGCACAGATAATCTAGTCATGCCGTTAGTAACAGAAACAATGCTGAAAAATCATGAAATCATCAAAAATGTTAAAGAAAGGTTAGGCACTATTAGCTATGTCAGCATGTCCAGTTCCATGCAAGTCTTATCCAACTTATTTTTCAATGCGGAAGTAAGCCGTTTTCTGTGAATGACTTCCGGTTCATTAGCTGCTGTAGGGAAATAACGAGAATAATAACGAAGTGCAGTAACCGGGAAAGGTGGAGCTAGACTAGGTCAAGAGAGGTGGTATAGGTGGAGCTTAAGTGTAGCTCCTCCTTGCTGGATGTCTAGCGAGGAGGAGCTACACGTAAGCTCCACCCATTTGCTCTGCAGCAAGCAGCCTCTCATCCATTGCACTTTGGCGAAGGATTCGGTTCAGAACTACAAACACGAATAAAAGCATTAAAAACTACGAACATGGCGGATGCGCACGACAGACAGAAGTTTAGATAAAAGGGTTTGAGTTACTAAAAATATTTATTTAATATTATTTGTCTTATTTCATCTGCAAAAACAATGTAATAAACATCCGGGCCTGGTATAAGTAGGCACATTTGGACGCAGGACTATTCAATGATTATGCGGTTTCGAACGCAGCCACTGTCCTGCAGAGTTTAGCGCCAACCCTAATTACACACACCTGAACTAGCTAATCAGGGTCAACAGACTCACTAGAATCTTAAGCCAAGTTCACACTACACGACTTTAAACATCGACAGATCGCTGTGCTGTTCAGACTACATGACTAGCTGACTGTCTTGAAGTCATTGCGGTGTTCACACTACGTGACATTACGTAAATGATCTGCAACAGGGGGTCACACACTACACGAACTAACAACAACTCTCTCACCCAACGAATCTATCCGGTGCCCAAACCACGTTGAAACAAGTGAAACAGGAGTTGTTTATTTGAAAATTGACGTTGGAAGGAAATTAGTGCTGCAAACTGTTTGCGTGATGATCTGTTCTTAAAGCCATGTTGCTGCTGCTGTTTTTCTTCCGCTGACCTCTGCCCAGAGGTAGCTCGTCGCGACAGCTGACACCACGTGATGTCAAGTCGGCCGACCGGTCCAGATATTTAGCATGCTAGATATTTGTTTGGCGTCGTTGAGTAGTTCACACATAAAGACTGCCAAGAGCTGATCACCCGCTGATTTTCCCCCGAGCATGTGCAGGGGGGGGGATAAAATGCCCCACAGTCAAACAAAGCAATTTCCTTCAAACCTTTACAGCAAAATCAGAGTACAGGCAGTTTTTTCTTAAAATTAAAAAAGAATATAATCAATAATTATGAATTACAAAATTATAATTGCATATTTGAAAAATATTTTTAGCTGATGCTAACTGGCTAGCTAACTAGCTACCTGATGCTAATTTGAGGTAATGTTTTTAAATATAAGGTCGAAATATTTTTATTCAACCAACTAGTTAGAATACATTTGATGGGAAAACAAAGGATTTGATGTTCAGAACAGAGTGACTACAGTAATTAAGCTAAACTATGATAAACTGCATTTGAAGTAATTTATTCCAAAATCATCAAGTACATGAGCGAACCAACTCGTGTCATCACTTTGTTTGACTGACACAGATGCTATCTCCAAGTCACCACACAAAAGAGCTTTCTTCATTGTCACCGTTTTCAGAGTTCAGCGACTTCTTCAAGTGTATGAACACCTCTGGCTATCTTTTCCAGGAGAAGAGCTTCTTTTTTAATATTCTCGAGTTCAACAATGCGGTCTTCAAATCCAGGGCGTTTCTCTTCCTTCTCTGTTTTGATCAGGATTTCAAGGTATTCTGCTGTGGAAAGAGATTTTGGCTTCAATGCAATTTCATCTAGTCTTTTTAGGCAATCAGTGGACAATTTGATCAACTTTATTAGTTTTTCCTTAATTCCACGGAGATCCTTTTCAAGTGCTTCAAGCATTTGCTTTGTGTCCATGAACTGTCCTTTAGCCGCCATGAAGTTTTCTTTCAACTCTTTAATGGTTTTTGTCTCTACTTTTGTTTCATATGTCCACAGGAAATTTTCTCTTGAATGAAAAGAGTAATGGCAGTTTCCAGGGCAGATAATGCAGTGGTCATTCTCCATCACAGCACAAGTCTGCACAGGATCTTCTGCAGGGAGGAAGCAGTTGGAGTGACATGTGAAGAAGCAGGTGTTGCAATTCATGCTAAAACAGTTTGCAGGGGTTCTGTTTGCTTTCGTCACCTCTATCTCTTGTTCAAAATTCTCATTTTGATCCATCTTGTCATTCTGATTTTCTAAACATTGCTTAAATCTTTTTATCTCACTCACTTTAGAGAGACCAGCAGTTATTTGAGGGGTCAGACTTGTCATGGCTTTCTCAAGGCGCTCTCGTTCCTCCAAGACCTTTATAGTCAGCGTCAGATCTTTACTATCAATGGTCCCCAGTGTCTTGAAAAAAGCCTTCATCTGTTTCAAGGTTGATGCCCACACAATCTCATTCAGTTTCTGATCATCGTCTTCATCATCATCTGAATCACTGCCAACGGCTGTGTGTTTTTCTACACTTTTGTCTGCATACACAGCTGTGTTGTTGAACTTGAAATGGGAGGGATGTCCCTTTTTATTCTTTTGACAGGGCAGATCTGCTGCTTTGATGGCTTCTAGAGCTGGGACGTCTTTACCATCTGCAAATGTCACCAAAATAATTATGTTCTCTGCAATGTCTTTTCCAAAAATTGACAAGACTGAATCAAATATATACTTCTGGTTGGCACTCAGGCGGACAAGAGAAGCCTGGACAACTAGGCAAACGGCATCAATGTGATCAATTCCCAACGGGCTACAAAGAAAGCTTTTGACCTGCTTTGTAATCAGTTTATCATGTGTGATTCCTTTTGTATCCCCAAATCCAGGTGTATCTACGATTGTGAGAGAGTAGGGGATTTGAAAGCCAGGCTGACTGTAGAGCTCATAAGATGAAACATTAGGTGTCTGACTCTCAGCCTGTGTGCGATTTGTCACTTCATTGATTAGTTTGAAGCGATAGGGATCCTGCCACTTTACACCTAGTATGTAGTTGACCATCACATTGATGAGTGTGGTTTTTCCTGCACCTGTCGATCCCAACAGAAGAATTACTTTGCTTTTCACATCCTCCACTTTTCTTCCAAAGACATACTGATTAAAATCATTCTCTTTCATTTTTTGGTATAGATTCAGTCTATAAATTGAAGGATTCCCCTTGTTTATACGTGAAGATTGATTTTTGAACAGCCCACTTCCAACCTCTTCTGAATGTTTACTCTTCAAACATGCAGAAAGCACTGTTTCTGAGCTGGGGAGACTCATTTCATCATTAACACAAATTGCTGAAACTCTGACTGTGTAATCTGTCTCTCTTTTCAGTTCATGAATGCATCCTGCCATTTTACACCTAGTATGTAGTTGACCATCACATTGATGAGTGTGGTTTTTCCTGCACCTGTCGATCCCAACAGAAGAATTACTTTGTTTTTCACATCCTCCACTTTTCTTCCAAAGACATACTGATTAAAATCATTCTCTTTCATTTTTTGGTATAGATTCAGTCTATAAATGGAAGGATTGCCCCTTGTTTATACGTGAAGATTGATTTTTGAACAGCCCACTTCCAACCGCACCTGAATGTTTACTCCTCTTCAAACATGCAGAAAGCACTGTTTCTGAGCTGGGGAGACTCATTTCATCATTAACACAAATTGCCGAAACTCTGACTGTGTAATCTGTCTCTTTTTTCAGTTCATGCAGAATGCACTCCCTGTTTGTAGATTTCACAGACTTCCACAGCTTTTCATTTTCATGTTCCTTTGTGCATTCTCTGGATTCCAACACGTATCCAGTGATCAGAACTCCCTCACCCACAGATGCAGGAACATCCCAGACTAAAGTTGCTGACTCAGATTCTACTTGTTTTACGGTAGGTGCTCCAGGAGGAGCACATGGACGAGTCCTGGAGAATGATGTTGTGTCACTTGTCAGACTTACTCCTGGACGACACACAGCCTTGCAGGTAAAACAATATTCTTTATATGGTTGTAACTGCTTGACAGTGACCTGATCAGCAACTCCATCAGTATACACCTCTGTCCATTCAGTGCTCTGTGCAGACTGATATGAAATACAGTACGAGTCCACACAGCTAACACCACGATCAGGGGGTTTGATTTGCAAATGAATGCAGTCGTGCTCAGCCCTCAAGAAAATTGGCATTGGTGGTTTTGAAGGAAGCTCATACTGTGAGCTGATGAGTCTCCCTCTTTCATAAACATGAATTGAAGAAGCAGTGCTGAGTTCATCTGGGATTGATGCAATGCAGAATTCAATGTTTTCTTTCCCTTTATTGGCTTCTTTGAAATCTAGGAAGGCCTGTATGTTTTCCCTGGTGAATGCTGTTACATCCCCTGAGCAAAACCATTTCTCTGTCTTCTTTGAAGAGTTTAGATTATAACTTACTTGCTCTCCATTTTTACAGGATTGTTCCTTAAGGTAATTCCCCAAGTCTGAAAGGTACGGTTCGTCTTCGTTTAAGGATGAGAGTGCGAAAGCTATCACGTAGTTATTGGACGCTTTCAAGACAACTTTGTCCAATTCGTTGCTGGATGAAATAACAGGGACATCTTTCATGATGTCAAGGTAAGATCTAACAACATTCATCTCTCGCTCTCGCTCGTTTAGATACTTGGTTACCAGAGCCCCCTGAAATGGGGATCTTTCATTTCTGTTCAGATAATCTGCAAGCTCCTGTTCCTCTTCTCCTCCACTCCTTATGGATGGAAGTAGCCTGCTGAGATGTTTTTGAAGAACAGTTTTGTACTCTGAGAGAAGATCTTTACATTTTCTGATCTTGTCTTTGATTTCAGGGAATTGAATGGCAATATCGTCCCTCATCAGATCTTGACATTGAACGTCACAATCATCCAGTCCATCCATGATCCGTTGGGCTCGTCGTACCAGGCTAACACTGATCTCCCTGACTAACTGAGCAGCTGCCGAATCTAGTTTTTTCAGAGGGTAAAGCCACACGGTCATGGGCACAGCATTCTCTCCATGTTCTCCCAACAGTTTTGGTAGCTCCGAGTACACCTTGATGGCATCTACATAGGAGACTGGATTGTTGTCCAGGGCAAAATCGCCATGAAAAGTGCAGCTGAACTTGTTCATTTTCTCTTGTTCCATTTCATTCATTTTCAAAGATGCCTGACCCTCTATTGATATTGAAGGTATCTTTTTGATTGACGCTTGGAGGTCACCTTGTATCTCTTGATGGTTTTCATTAGACGAAACCTCACGATCAAAAATAAAGAATGCTTGAGCTCCATACAGTAGAGCTGTAACAACATGTGTGGCCGAGCCCTCCTGAAATACATTGCAGTGCTTTACATTTCCTGCGCCAAGATGCTCCATAGTTAACTGCTCAAAACGTGAAGTTGTCCGATACTGCAAGGTGACTCGAGACTGATGTTTGGACTTCTTGTTGTCATTTAAATAGTCTGCTGATCCTTTAACACTGACTAATCCACTCAGAAAGCTGGCTTCAAGAGATGCAGAAACATTCAGAGCTGCTACTTTGTCTTCACTAGAGTCTGAGGCAATTATTTTGAAGTCAGTATTTGGCTGCGGCCGTATGTTAATATTCTTCTTCAGCATTTCAAAGTCCCAGAGAGATATTCCTTTAAAGAATGTATATGTTGCCTGTTAAATTCATCCAAAAAAACAAACAAAGAAACTTGCTAATACCAAACAAATACAATTTAATTTCAGTTTCCGTCTCCTAAGGCCAGATTAATTTTGTCCTCTGTAATGGGCATATGTTTTGTTTATATCTTTCGGCCTCTGGTTAATTACTGTTGTATCTTCACAAGGACACCGTTATGCAATACTAAAGGTTGGAATAGTCATAAATATGTATAAATATCATAATGTTGTTGTGCCATAGAATATGGGGGTCTTTCATAGATCATAGATCTTTTGTGGCCTTGTGCTTTTAAAACAATTGTAAATGAGGGGGTATTACCGTACATAGTGTTTTTTATGATGGGGCTTAATTCAGCACAAGAAAAAAATTTAATGGCTTCTCAAAAGGGTTGCATGCCACTGGTTTAGATAATGTTTAAGAAAAACAGAAACTGAAATGTTCACCATAATTTCCATTCCCTCAAACCCATGTATGTATGTCATCTTATTTCATATCACTCTTGATTTATTCGTGTGATTGTATTACCTGGAATGAGAGCATCGCTCCTGCAGTCATACAGCATTCCCAACTGAAATGGACGGCCAAGACAAGCCAGTTCTATAATGCCATCAGACATGTTTCTGAAGAAGATAGTTGTGGCCTCAGTTCTGAAATATGCCTTCCCGTTCTATAAAATAAATCATATGTATATGTAAATTAGGATGATTCAAATTTGTAATCTAATTAATTACACAATGTTGTGATAAATCTAATAATCACATATTAATTCGCACATCAAATTTGGCTGAGAAATTGCCCACAAATGTATTTTAAAGCCATTATTGTGTTACATGAGAAAAGCATGAAATAGACATCACAAAAAGTAGCTTTAAAAAAAATAATTTATCCTTTTCATATTCTTTTTTTCTTTTTGGGCTGAACTATCTATTTAATTAGTTTTTTATTAATAAGGATTTTTTCCCCCCAGATTTTTAAATTTTTGTATTATTATAAACATGTAAATATGAAATAGTAGGGCAGCGCGATGTGTCCAAAAAAATGATCACGATAAGATTTTCCATATCAGTCGATATCGATAATCATCACGATAATTTTCACATTTTTCTAAAGGCAGATTTTTGCTCCCAATTGAAATTTGTATAAATCAGACCGATAACCGTTTTAAACTACTCTTTCTGGTCAGAACATGACAAGCACTTCACGTTTTTGAATTCTTTACACTTTTCTAGTTATTTTTTGGTCTTTCATAGTAGCACACATTTAGATCATGATAACCAAAGTTAAAACCACACATATAGCACCTCAATTTTTTGATAGCACCTCAAAAATTTAAAGTAACTATATGGTTTCAAGGTATTTGTATGAAAAACAGTAGTCTAAATACATTAAGTATACAGTAAATGCAAAACCGCTAGGCTATAACTTAATCACAGAAAAATACTGTAATTATATTCACTTCTTTAATCCATTTAATACATGTCTACATTCAGGGGCGTCGCTAGTGGGAGGAACAGGGTGACAGTGCACAGGGCCCAGAGGTCTGTGGGGCCCGCGATCTCACATCGCTGTTTAGTGCTCGCGTGACCGAGTCTTAGCACATTAAACACATCTGCTCTAGTGAGCTCGTGCTGTGCTGCCGTTTGAACTTTGAGCTGAGCAGATAAATGATCAGTGTGGCTTCAAATGAGTACCACTTTTGGCGCCAATTGAAATCTGTATAAATCAGACCGATAACTGTGGTTTTAAACTAGTCTTTCTGGTCAGAACATGACAAGCACTTCACGTTTTTGAATTCTTTACACTTTTCTAGTTATTTTTTGGTCTTTCATAGTAGCACACATTTAGATCATGATAACCAAAGTTAAAACCACACATATAGCACCTCAATTTTTTGATAGCACCTCAAAAATTTAAAGTAACTATATGGTTTCAAGGTATTTGTATGAAAAACAGTAGTCTAAATACATTAAGTATACAGTAAATGCAAAACCGCTAGGCTATAACTTAATCACTAAAAAATACTGTAATTATATTCACTTCTTTAATCCATTTAATACATGTCTACATTCAGGGGCGTCGCTAGTGGGAGGAACAGGGTGACAGTGCACAGGGCCCAGAGGTCTGTGGGGCCCGCGATCTCACATCGCTGTTTAGTGCTCGCGTGACCGAGTCTTAGCACATTAAACACATCTGCTCTAGTGAGCTCGCGCTGTGCTGCCGTTTGAACTTTGAGCTGAGCGAATAAATGATCGGTGTGGCTTCAAATGAGTACCACTTTTGGCATATAAACATTGTATCGAACATTTATCGAACTCTTATAATTTTATTGAGGAAAATGATATCACGATAATTATCGTTATTGTTTTATCGCCCAGCCCTAACTGCCAGTAGGTGGCAGTAAATGTCTTAATGCATAAGTCGTTCATTCATTCATTCAAACGGCAGATTTATTCAGGAATGAAGTAAATGGCTCTCTTTATAAATGGGCCTTTGAATCATTGGTTCACCCGATTCGTTCAAAACGCAGATTCATTCAGAAATTGTGTTTTGTTCAGAGACGCACAACAGTTCTGCTGTGGCTTTAATATGTAACATGTAATATGTAACATTCTGTCTATACTATAACACAATATTAAATTCTTATTTATTGAACTGTTGTATAAAATAAATATCACATTTGCACGCTGTTCTGGACACAAACAGCACTCGTGTGATATTGCACATTTGTTAATTGCATTTAAAAATGTAACACGTGAATTAATAAGTTGTGGAAAAAAAAGTAACATGTTAAATTAATATTTACATTAAGGCTGTTGATTTATTGTTTAATTAGCAGCATTTTATACCATTAAACTGTTCCTATTATAGTTTTTTCAGGTATATGACGTCAAAAGACAGAAAGAGAAAATTCTGTTACAATTGTGGAAATTCAAAGTACTTTTTTACCAGTTTTTGTTAACATTGCACTAACTTTTGTTTAAGTTGTGCTAACACAAGCAGCATAAAAGCAGAATCGCGTCAAAGATTTTCAGTTACCCCTATCATTTGTAAAAATCTTTTTAATGAACATTGTGGGCAAAGGGCCTCAGTATTGATAAAACACTTTAGCTAAAGTACAGGGATGTGATTCGTCCGGATTAATCCGGTTATTTCGGCCTAAAATCATGTGTGATACTGGTTACTGCATGATGACTGAAATCGTGAAATGGCCTTAAGCAATTAACTAAATAAACTGCGAAAAGGTTATGTTTTCTAATACAAATAGACGGAATGGTAGAGTGCTGGACGAGCTCGCGGCGCCATCTGCAGGACAGTTAAAAGGCTTCAAATGGTAGAATCAGCGCTGAAGCGTGTTACTCACCCGGAAACTTTTTAATGAATGCTGGTGAGAATTTGAGATTGCTTAGTACTATCATAGAATACGCAACGGTTGTGATGTAATTATATAAATATAGACTATAGTCTGGCACGCTACATGTCTGCTGTAAATGCTAGCTGCGCTAGAGTAGCTTTCATTTTTCATTTCTAATGTTAACTTTCATTTTGCATTTGGCACCGCAACATTCGTCATTAGAATCGTTTATAAATTTGTTGTTGTTTACAAAGAGAAGCATCACATGATCCTTCAGAAAGCATTCTAATATGATGATTTGCTGCTCAAGAAACATTTACTATTTATTTTTATCAATGTTAAAAAACAGTTTTTGCTGCTTAACATTTTTGTGGAAACAATGATAGCCTGCCACACTGTAAACTTTTAATAGAGAGAGAAAATAATAATTTTATTCATCATACATTAAAGTGATGAAGTGAGTGAAAAGTGAAGACATTTAAAAAATTACAAAAGATTTCTATTTAATAAATGCTTTAATAAATGTATTTGATAAATGCAAATAAATGCTGTTCATTGAACTTTATCAAAGAATCCTGAAAAATAAAATATATTACCACAAAATATGAAGCAGCACAACTGTTTTCAACATTGATAATAATCAGAAATGTTTCTTGAGCTTCAAATCAATTGTAATGGTTTCTGAAGGGTCATGTGACACTGAAAACTGGAGTAATGATGCTGACAATTCAGCTTTTTATCACAGGAATAAAAGACATTTATAATATATTAAAATAGAAAACTTTTTTTATATGTAATACTATTTCACAATATTGCTGTTTTTTGTTTTTGATCAAATAAATGTAGCCTTGGTGAGCAGAAGAGATTTATTTCAAAATCATTAATAACTAATGTTTCCAAACTTTTGGCAGGTACTTTAATAATAACAATTCTATTAATACTTAATATAATATAATACCTATATTAATGCTGCTTTTTATTTTTTCAGGACAACAGTATGTATTATTACAATATAATATATATCTTTTAATGTGATAAACTCTAGGCTATATATTTTTAAGTAATAAGTGCTTGGGGCGTTGTCAGATTTTCCTGCTTTTTTGTCTCTAGTTGATCACATGCCTGAAAGTAATGTTTTGTGTATTCTACGTTTATACTTGTTCAAAATAATCACTTCAGCAAAGTTTGTGTTCTGTTTACTTTTGTATTTAATTTTCTGTTATTCAATAAATACACATTTAAAATATGTTTATTTGCAGTGCATGACTATCCATTAAAAATATTGGCCTCATTTTAGTTTAAAATCAGACATTTGGCATTATTAGGACCAGCAAACTAATTCCCCCAGTGCATTATCATACATTATATTCAGTATTTTATAGTTTACACCTGTAAACTGCACCTGGCTAGACATAACAGTTTCTTTGTTATCCCATCCTCTATGCCAAAAATGTAGTGAGTTTCCTGCATATGTCATCATAGTGGTCTAATTTCAGAAAGGTAACCATTATAAAATAGACTAGTTTACAACCCATAGGGAATGACAATCTAATTCCTTTCTAACTTTGAAATGTAATGGTTATTTTCCAGAAATGAGACCACTTCAGTGAAGTACAGCTACCGTGTCTACACTAGGAGCAACCGCTGTCAGCTTTCTACATTGCACGTGTCAAAGCAAAAATTCCAAATCCCTTTGACCAAATGTCAGAAGTAGCACAGTTATGTGGAGTATGGCCAAACCACTGCACTAGAGGGTGCATCTTGTCAGCTCTCATGTACAGTTAGTGGTTTTTTTTGCACAGGAAAGTTCAATGCAAGCGGTTGTCATGGTAAGAAAAATAATATCTGCTTGAAATAGGGAGTTAAAAGATCATGCAGCTAAGGCCATTGCTAATATTGAGAATAAAAATAGGAAAAATCAGCAACAGTGCTGATTTGACATTTTACATAATTTCACACGATGTTATAGATCACGCAAAATCTTAATTTTTAAGTATTTTTATAACTTCATATTCAAAATTTTAATTTTCAATTTTACTTAAACACTTTTCTCACATTACTTAAATACATTAAATGGGGAAAGTATTTGTCATTTGTAACTAGATACTTTTTAATGTATTTGTGCCCATATCTCTTTGCACAGACTGGGCAGGGAGAGTAAAAGTGAAACAAAGTGAAGATTTATGAATTTGTTAGCAAGCTGGGGAAAAAAGTTGTTTGTTTATTTATTTATTTTTAATAATTTTTTTTTTTTTTTGGAGTATTACCATTGTGGTGAAGTGTCAAACTTGCTTGGTTTAAATTCAAGAATTCAA